CCTTACAAAATCAAAATGAAAGAATGGTTTTATTTGAAAGAAGGACTTAGTATCTTACCGTGAATTTAATGCAAATTGCAAGTTAGAGCATTATGTTCGAATTATTAAGGAATAAAATAATTACATGCACAGAGATAAAAAGATTGAAATGTTTTTGTTTTTGTTTTTGTTTTTTTTTTTGGGGGGGGGGGGAGGCACAACAAATAAACCGAGTAAAAAAGAAATTTTGGAATATGAAAACATTCTTGAGAATTTTTCCATCTATTTTACAGCAAGATACTTTTCAACAGAGTTGAACAGAGGCGTACCTCATATATCAAGTACTGGTATTAAAAGAAGCTCTCCTATGTTTTTGTTGTTGTAATTTTACTGTTACATTTAGAACTATTTATTTATGCCAATCCCTTTAGGAAAAAACCGGATTATGATTATTTTGTTCAACTGCTGTAGCTTATGGCAATGCTCTTCTTGCTATTAATTAACAATTATTACCAATTTTTGGAACTCGTAAATTTTTTTGTAATGGTGTGCTCAAATAAATAATCTAGTTATATCATGTGAAAAATATAGCATAATCGACTTAATGAGACAAACATATTAATCACTCACATTTTCTTTCTTGAGTATTAGATACTTTAAGTATGTAATCTCATGCTCGCAGTAAATTTCTTCTCAACGAAAATACTATATTAATCTCTGGCAAAGAGCTAGTCATTTGCATGTTCAATGTATTATTTATTTATTCATATTTTGAATTTATGTACATTCAGTGCGCATAAGTTAAGAAAAGTTCGATTCTTAAATCTTTGGCAAAACGCATGGATACAGAACAAACAAAAAACCCAACATTTTTTCATACAACTAAATCGAAAAATAGTCCCAATTGAATTATAAAGGTTTCTGTTCATCCGTCAGTGTCCCGTATCATATAGGGTATAATACCATTTAAATTTCAAATGATGTAAGAAAGACGTATGACTCTTTTCATTGTTTCGCAATTCTGAAATCTTCAGAAGGTCACAATGGGAAAAGTTATATACTTTTATTAGGCCTTTGGTAGATTGTAAGATTTGATTGTCACGTTAAATGCAAATACACTAAATCTTTGAGATAAAATGAATTTTGCAAGAAATTCTTTGATAGAAAACATGATTTAAAACGTGATCAAATGCTCAAGGGTGGTGTTATCACATTAATTTAGATTTAAATATCGAATAATATTTAAGTTCATATTTTTAAATACGTATGGAATAAATGTTGTAATATTTAGTATATTAAAATATACGAATAGTTTAGACAAGATGATATGGTCAAAAAAGCAATGCATTCAAATGCGCATGCGTGCAATGCTGAAATTTGAATAAACTTGATATACTTCTGGGAAATAATGTTAAAGTCTAAAATGCATCGTGTTTGTCTTATTTAATTGTCACCGGGTTCACAGGTGCGTGAAAGTCAGTCAATAGAATAGCTCAGTTGGTTAAATCAATACAGGAATACCTGTGACACAATGAAAAGAGTCTCTACCAATTGTTATTTCATCTAACAAAATAAATAAATAAAATCCTAACTTTAACTGGTAGGACGTCAAATACTGTGAAATTGCTAATTCTCATGGGGTTTAACTTTCGTTGTTCTCGAGGTATGGAGAGACCATCATGAAGTAAAATTTAATGTGCACTACTAATTAACATCTTCAAAGTTTACCACTTATTCAAATCTCCCACAAACCAATATTTTCTCCTCAAGCCTCGAAAATTTGACCCCATGAAAATATGTGATTTTACAATACTTGTATTTACTAAAATTTATATGGCAATATTTCATTGTTACATATGTGACCTTGTCTCCAAACCGATTCAATACGGAAAACATATTACGTGTACCTTCAATTTTTGAAGCAATTTAGGTTTCCTACCTTCAGCTGGATGAAACAGAGCTTGCACTAGTTCGTATTAGTCTGCATAACACAAATTCTTTTGTAGACCAAAATATCGCTGGGTACATGTCGATTTCAAACTTTTTCATAGATAGGCCTGTTTTTGAACTCAAATTAATCACTTACAGTGTATAATATTCCACTTTTCGGATGTGTAGTTGATAGGGTATGGAAACTCTTGTTAGCTTTCCTGATCCTATTAGATTTTCGGGGTCCACGTTTTTTTATTACTGTTTTCAAATTGTAATTGTTCATAAGCTGAATCAGAATGTTTGTTACAGTATATTCACTTATTGCATAGTAAAATAAAAACCTCGTCAATATATTTCTTTTCTCTCTAATGGATATATCTTTCGAATCACTATGGAATAATTCCACAGAGATTCTATTCATTTAACTTTTACTGAAAAAAATAGCAGTTTATTAAGTGCCTCCATGGAGTTGAAAATCTGGCTAATTAGACTTTTGCTTTTCAGGTTTTCTGATAACATTTGGCACTCACTGTTCCTATACTTAATCGTATATATGTCAAGTATACGTGAAATTGATTTGTTACATAATTTATTGCACAAGAATTTTTATGACGTACATCTGTGATCTTTTAAACCTTTATTGATCAATTTCACGGAGTAATATGTACCGATATGATTCAACAGGTTTCTGAATATCTACGAATTTGACTTATTCTTCAGATAGGTATTTTGATCAATTTTGATATTGAATTTTTAAAGTAATTTATAATACGTTGTACTTTAAATAGATAAAAAAAATCTGATCTGTGTTTAGTATCTGACATCTAATTTATATCAAACATTTGACGTTTCACCAGTTTTCTATGTGGGTACAATGTACATGTATGTATTTGTACATGTTATTGTAAATCTGTCAATGACAGAAAACTCCTGTAAAAACCGTTAAGTCAGCATAAACACTCCCTCTTATAAAGACAAAAGGGCTACTTTGGGTTTTGATTAAAAAGCCAGTCAACTTGTTCTTAAATTATTATTATATATTTAGATATATATTAAAAGAATAACCGAGATAGTCTTATACTGTACTACTGAATGAAAGAAGAAGGTACAGTTTAAGCTTTATTGCGCCCAAAAAGTTAATGTTTTCAAAAAGTTTTGAAACTGGCTCAAATATTAGTTGAGTTAATGACTGTGATAAATCAGGAAAGAATATGACATATTAAGGGAGCGCCATACCGGGAATATGACGTCATTAATTTAATGCATTTCTCTATTTAAAACAGAAGTGCCTCAAATGAACTATTTCAAGGGTAATTTTCCTTCAGAAAACAGTGTCCACAGCCGTCTCCCACTTTAATTTTTGGATATGTTGTGCAAAATTCAATAAAAAATCACATATTTCAAAATCCTTGTAGGCGATGCCAGGTGTCTTCTGCAACATTTTAAGAAAATACGGGAAAATGCACATGTTTTTGACGTCACAATTAGCATTTAGAAATGCATGTGAGAAAATTAATTTGTATGATTTTTCTGCATGGAATTTCTACGATTCAGAAAGCAATTAGTTTTCATTTTTTACATCAGTTTCATATTTAAAAAAAAAAAATCACAGGGCAATATTTGTATTGAAACCCTGCCTTGTTCTTCAATGAGACTTTTACAGAATCTTTGTTACATAATGTCATTAAATTATGCATCTCCTATTTTACTTTTTGATCTGATACATATTTTGGGTTTCCCATAGCAAAACATAGACACTGCAATTATTTCTAAATATTTGCATATCCACTGCTTTCTCCCACTATGAACATGCAGTCATCAATTGCATTCATAGGACTATGCTTCTGCTATGAATGCAATTGCTATTCACACTCGTGTAGCACAAGCTCTACTACAATTATATAGTGTGTTGAGAAGTACATATATGGAATGTTTTGCAAAAGGAATAAATATAAGTTTTTAATAATATTCTTTGGAAAAAGAAATTCAGAATAATTTAAAATTGCTGATTTACCTCTTTAAAAATTTCATTTTGGTCATAAAAAATGAAGAGAACTGTCATATTTTTATTTTTTCTTATCATATTTTCGCATATTTCTACAAAGAACAATAACTCTTCACACTTGGGCGTTTTAACATTATTAAAAAGCAACATCTCTTTAATAGTATATCTATTTCAAGAAGGATTTCCGCTCTAAAAATAAATATAAGCACTATAAAAAATCATAAAAAGGATTCTGGAGTTATACATGTAATCTGTATTAAAGCTCTGCTTTTTTTTTTATCATAGTGTTAAATTATTGATTTTTGTCATAGGGTTTCAATAACGTTGACCGATGACGTCACAACTGCATAAAAAAAATTAAGAGAATGTGACGACGGCGCAGCTTGTATCCAGATAACTGTGTTAAAAGGCAAATACTTTATAAATTTTGTGATTTATAAGAAAAAAGGTACAATGATCAGGTATACTGATTTCATAGCTGTGAGTTTTTATTTACTGAAGACAAGTCGCAACCTTATGTAAGCCAGGATTTCCTCTGATATTCTTGACAATATCAAAGAATGCAAATATATAAGTAATAAACAACGATTATTCAGTGAACATGGCATTATGAGCAAAGCAATGGCTACCTTTATACTCACATGGAATATTTCCATGATGCGCTAGCGCGCATCATGGAAAATGCCAGCAGAGCAATTGCTAAGATGGATATTTTTCGAAATCAAAAGCTAAAATAGATATCCAGCACATATAAAATCTTACAATGAAGTGTCTTTGTCGTACATGCCTTTCAAAGTGAAAAATTATCAATTTTCAAATACTAGTACATCTTCGCTCTCCATATGAGTGAAAAATTCTCGAGAGGGACGTTAAACAATATACAATCAATAAATCATATTCATCACGTTTTAACAATGTACTACAACAAAACTGTTATAATGAAATAAAATTAAATTTAAGTGTTCTTTGCTATACCCCCAGCTTGAAAAGCGGGAGGGCATATAGTGATCGGGATGTCCGTCCGTCCTTCTGTACGTCAGTAACTGACTTTTTGGTTTGCTCTGCTAAAAAAACAGCCCAATGGTAATGACACGTAAAGTCTTTATTGATTAAATAAAGTTGCATAAAATAAGCTAATAGTGTATTAATTCGTTGCAAGTTAAAATTATATCGTAAATCAATAAAAGCTCCGAAAACCATAGACTGTATCAATTTCAAACGACATATTTTTCAATATTATAAAAAGAGGGCAAGTTCAAATAAAAAATAATTGTTTAAAATTACACTGTAATACCCAGATATAAAATGATGATATAACTGACACTCCTAAATGCAAAATTCATTTTCTTTTGCACAAATCTCATCTAGAACATTTAAAATTTACATAATGATAATATTACACTACGCCAAAAATGCATTTGAAATAAATATACTCGTATATCGCTTCCTAGTATAACAAACAGTTGCAGCTTTTATTTAACAAAATTTTCATATAAATTTAGGCTGACATATAACGCACAAAAGTACAACTTTATCATTCATGTCATACAGATGACTTTTTTTGGGACATTTTACAAACATTTCAATTTTTTCATGGACCATCTCGCTGTGTACGATTCTTAGCAAAATAAAATCATTACATTTTATAAAGCAGTACAGAGAAAATTTAATAAATTGCTTTGGTAGAAAAATTCCTCATAACAAATAACTGACAAATACGCAGAAAAATCGAAGCATTGGATTGTAATGAAAGACAACTGAAGTGTTCTCATAAAAAAAGCTTACTGACAGCTTAAACACGGTAATACTTAATACTACAGTAGTAAACAGCGCATATGTATAAATTTAATACACTTTTTGTGCAACGCATTAATATATTGATTTTTGTTAGAGAAAACGCTGACTTTGAATAGAACATGGGTCATGAATTAACTGAAAATAATTCCCTTGGTGAAAATAGTTTTGTTGTAAAGTGTGAAACTTGTGGACACATCTAATATTGCCTTTGACATCGTTTTGAACGCAAAATAACAAATGAACGTATACACTTTTAGAATATGAACATGTATGCACAATAAAGACATCGAAAACTAAACACTAAATGGTCTATTTTCTATAGGAGTTACAGGATTATTGGAGACCTCCATTATGAGATATCCAATGACACCTAACACAAGGGTGGATCCTATTAAACACACTTTGTAGAGGAGCGTGAGAACAATTGAAGAGAAGAAGACAGAAAAACACACACACACACACACACACACACACACACACACACACACACACACACACATACACACAGGTCGAAATTCACCTAGTCTATTTTAAAATTTTCTTACATTGTACCTGATCTAAATAGTTAAATATTTAAAATACACCACATTAAGATAATAGATAACTGGAAGTAATGCTATTTTTTTCTTTTGATTTGAACTGTATAATAAAATTTTCTAAATCTCACCTTCAAGATGTACATAAAGAATGCTTAGGTCCCTTTAACGATTATTTAATATAAACAATCAAGAATTTTTGGGTTTAAATATTTCTTCCAAGATGTCACCATAACTACCTTTTTATAAATACATGTTATTCATTTTTCCATGTATTTTAACTTTTTTTACTTGTATTGCATTGATAGAAATTTATAAGGAATACCGATGCTTTCGAGAGAGAAAAAAAATGTGAGAATCAATTAATGAGCATGTACTGAAATTGTCTTTTAAGATATTTTATTTAAGAATGTTCATATAATATTTGCGCTATAAGTATGCACCAGCAAAACCTTTGCAGTCAATGATATATAAAAAAACCCAAAGTGTTTTGACTTTGCTCCCGCCACTCATATACTAGTATAACAGAAGTATTATCTTTTGTTATTAAGTTCAGGGAATCATAGATTGGCGGAAAAGTAAAATTATACATAAGTATTTCCATTATTTTTATGAAAATGACAATTTTAGACATAACACCAAGTTTTCCATTTTTTTTCAACCAAAAAAAAAAAAAAAAAAAAAAAATTGGGGGAAGAAAATTTTTTTTATCAATGTAAAAAACAAACACATATAAAACGAACTTACAGAAACCCTAACTGCCATTAATATAGTTTGTCTTATGTAAGCGTTTAACATCTTTGTAAGACAAGTATTTCCGATCCGATATCTACTCTACCTTTATCTAGCAAAGATGACATTGAGTTCTGGAGACAAGTTATTAGGTAGAAGATTGATAACTCTTGAATAATCTGGATTCCATGTCATGAGACTATATAAACAACTGCAAAATGTGACATAGATTTTTTAAAAAAAAATTTTATATTATGCCCCGATGTGTATCACTGTTTTACTGTTAATTTCAACCAATCATGTGATGGTGTGATCCGACATTCCGGATCATCACATTGTGTTATCTGAATCCATATCTCTGAACGTTTGAATACATGATCATTTTTCTTGCGTACCAAAACGTTAAGTTTAATGGATTCAAAGTATATTATATAACTCAAAAGTTTGGTTTATCATATTTGCTAATTATAGAGGGGTACTTAATTAATTTATCATTAATATTATAACAGCAACTTTATTCGAAAAGCCGTATCTCGTTCATATGCGCAGGTCATCAAAGACGAAGCTTCGCGTCTTGTTTGATCTAATGAACCTCGCCAGCACATTTCAATTTGACGGGAAACGGGTTTTCAGATCTAGCTACTATTATAATCATATATACATAACAATCATTGCAATAAGAAATTTAAAGATTAAAACCATTTCCTAGATTTTTTGGGTACAGGATTAGATTCGCTGACTTGTTTTTTGACCTCAAAAGAACTTACATCCCACAAGATCATGTTCTGGAATAAATTTTTATTTCCGTAATTCGTTTATCGATCTCCAGCGATCCCGTTATCCTGTAAAGTCCGATTTGATGGAAACTTTATTCTAAATGGAACTCATTTATTTTCCCACAACTCACTTAGAATGACACGATCAATTGCTGGAAAGGGAAATTTTTTTGTTAGACAATTTTTCCCGTTTTCTTGGATAAATGCCATAATTCTAACATCATGCAACAATGCAATCATTTTCAAGAAAATCTCCAAATATTCCTAATATCGACTACAAAATTACTGTGTGAACCGACAAGTTACTGGTACTAATACGGAAAGTTCAATTAATCAAGTCACAGATCGAAACTATGGCTAAATTGTGAATTTATTCAGATAATCAAGGCATCTTATTCAAACATAAACTAGAATTACAAGCCTCGATATCAAGGCAACAAGCTAAGTAGACACAGAATGGAGACAACAACCCCAGTAATACAAATTATTTACGCATTCAGACGTTTGAGTCATGGTATATAGTTAATTGCTAATGTAAATAGAGGATAGATGCCCATACAAGTGATTAGTTTTGTAATACCATGAATGAAGGTCACCCTGGGAACAATTGTACATGATCTCACCTTGGACTTGAGACTGCCAAACGGCGTCGAGAGCTCCCCAAAGGCTCATGAATCCTAGAATACTGTAAACAGAGTCAGAATGGGGCTCCCATATATACAGTACGAGGAGCAGACCTTGTGTGACCAGGAATCCTTCAAATCAAAAAGAAAGAATGAATTATCAAAGACTGCATTGTTGAATTGTAACAAATTATACTGCAATATCATTGTGTGAATGTCAAATTTAAAGTTGTTTCAGATTTTAATGTATACATGTATATCTTTGAGTGCAGCATTAAGATAGTCGACAAAATTTAAAGAAATTAAAATAAACACTATAGAATGGAATAAATATTTTTAAACATCTTTTAACACAACTAAACGTTTATTACAGCTCTATCCTCTTCAGTCAATTTTAGAACGTGCGCTACATTTTTTATATATTGTAGAATTTAATTTTTGTTGAGTAAATTATTACAAAATTGGTCAAAATTTGTTTTTATTTTTTTTTATGTTTTCATAAAATTATTTTACAATGCATTCAGTATTGAAATACTGAATTAAATTTTTTTGGAGACATAAATATACTCTAAAGATATTTTCCCTACTTTTTAGACTGTGTATTCAAGTTTTAAGCTAACACATTTTCAAAAAATGACGAAAGAAATGCGAAATAAAAATTCAAACATTCATTTTACATTTATATTATTTAAGTGATTATTTTTTTTCAATACTTAAATAATTCAAAAACAATAAAATCAGATCAAGATACATGTATTTTGAAAAATAAGCAATTTTACTGTAACAATTTAAGGACAAAACTTGGATGGATTGACGGAGATGTGACCCTTTTTGTTTCAATTTCTGTGGACATTTGAATCATTTCAAAGACCATTATGATATTTTTTCACCATTATATTTGTTACTCCAGTTTTGTTTCAATATAATTGATTAATCACATGATAATATTTTCAGCAATGTGACTAATTTTTGCCTATACATATTGTTTCAATTTCTATGGACTGTAGTTGTATTTTAATATATTTGAATCATTTACCTGTAACTTTACTGTCTCAAATTACTGGAATATATCTAACTTTATTTCGAATGTATGTTTTTTTTTTTACAATTTTAAAATAAAAATAAGTTGCTCCTTTTTATTACCAACTTTTTTTTTCAAGCTTTTACTTTTCGTTAATTTTGTTCTGTTCCTCAATATGTACAAATTTATTTCATTTTTATCACACTCATTTTATTCTATCCACTCTTGCAACTGTTTTGAATTGTTTTAATTTTAAAATTATCAAAATTCTTTGACATTTGTTTCTCTGTTCAATTTTTTCTTGTAACGACGTTTTCTAGGAGAAAAGTGAATCTACAGCGTAGCTAATGTTTTCCAAACTCTTTCTCCTTCCTCACACGTGCTTCATAAAGCATATGGAGATAACGAACTGTATTCAACATCAAAAGTCAAAAAAAACAATACAAAATAGAAGCAGAGCAAACACGGACCTTCAAAATATCAGAGGTGGGATTAGGTGCCATGCAAGAGTGAGCATTCCCTGCCGACCGGTCACACTCCTTGTCATGATCGGAAATTAACGGAAAAATCTGTTGCCTATTCAGTGTATGAAAAACGCCAGTCAGCATTTGTCTCAATGATAAATTGTATTTGCTGTAAAGGTCATTAAAACGACTATAGAACTTACCAAATTTTGACTTAAAACGATACTGTTGAAATTCTTGTTTCATCAACTTGTTTTGTCAATAATTTACCTCGTTTTTAGTAATTGTGCATACGTAGAGCATGCTCTTGCGTATCGAATCAAATGAGATGTATATAAACTCCGTATGCAGGTGATGAAGGTATATTGCTGCATAAGAAAGGAAAGCTCACAATAGAAAAATTAAAGTCATCATTTTTATCATAGATCTTGATTGTTAAATTACCATTAACATCTTTTTCAAGTAAAATATCCAAATATAAAACAGATGTGTCAGACTCCGTGGTATCTTTTATTTCAAGCTCAGTAGGATATATCGTATCGACATAAGAATTGAAATTACCATTGTTAATTGACAATATATCGTCGGTATATCTAAAAGTTCTAAAATATTAGAATGTTTTGCAAGAAAAAGACGAAAATGGTTATTTAGTAACAACAATACTTCACGATTAACGTGTCAATTTTAACTTTTGAATCGTTAACTTCCCTTACTTAAGCAGCAATTTACACGTATTACCTGTATAATGGGATTTATCTCTCAGTTGATTCGATACGAAAGAGCATGCTCTAAATGTACGTTTTTAAAAAGATGTTATTGACAATTAAACAAGTTGATAAATCAAAAAATGAACAGCTTATTTGAAGTAATCATTTCGTAAGTTCCATTGTTAATACAATGATCTCCTCAGCAAATACATTCCATCATTGAGTCAAAGGGGGACAGACGTTTTCCATACTAATTTTTAGGCCATTATTTACACGCTAAATTGGCGACGAATTTTCCGTTATTTCCGAACGAACATGACAAGGAGCACACAGTAGGTGTGACTGGTCGACAGGGAATGCTTACTCCATGGCAACTGAATCAACCTCTGATGTTTAAGAGGTCTGTGTTTGCTCTGCTCCTGATTTTTTTTGTGTAGATGGACTTTTGAGATGGAATGCTTTTCGTTATCTTCATATATATATAGCAATGTCACAAAATATAATATGTTATACTTTATTGAAAAGTATTTAATATAGCAAAATGAAATAGGTAACAATCAAAATAGACAATTATAAAATTGTAAAAGTGTGTTGATAACTTCCAACTGTTTCAGTTTAAAATCATTAGTGACAAAGCTTTTGGATCAATCCTTTAAAATTTTAACCGATGAAATTTTAAAGTCTATAATTGTTGTCTTATTTCCTTCCTTTTAAAAAGTTAAAAAGAGAAGAGAATCCAAAATAACAAAAAATGCGTGTTTTTATCAAACTAAAAGATCTGAAATATACGGAAGCCCTGGAGGGACATTGACTTACTTGTTATGACTTATTTGTTATAACTTTTTTGTTTTGACTTATTTGTTTTGAGATTTTTTTTCCGTTAGTTCTAACTAAGTGTAGGTAAGCTATAGAGAACAATTAATTGTAGTTTTGTAGTTAAACGTACAGAACTGATGTGATTACTAAATTTTTATCTGTTAATTACGGACGCCCTTGAGGGATATTTCTTATGTGTTTTGACTGATTTCTTATGTGTTTTGACTTATTTCTTATGTGTTTTGATTATTTCTTATGTGTTTTGACTTAGTTCTTATGACTTTACTTTGAATTCTTGTTATTTTGAATTTGTTATGGCAAGTTTAGTTTACAAAAAGTGGCGTGAAAGAAGAGAAAAAAGAAAAAAAAATGTCCTTGAAATTAACGACAAGATAAAATAGTAAATGTTATTATGCAAACTGGAAGTTACTTTTAAGAATTTCGTAATACCTTTTAGAAAATAAGAATTAAGTTATAACAACAAAAATAATGTTTACTTTAGAAATCACAACTGTACTGGACGTTAAACAACAATTTGTTAATCACAGTTAAAATAGGACTAAATATCATTTTTATTATAAAGTAAGCCAAGCAGCAGATTTTCAATAGCTTTCTTACACTTAGTTATAACAAGCTACAAAACATTCACAACAAATAAGTCAAAACAAAAAAGTTAAAACAAATAAGTCATAACAAGTAAGTCAATGTCCCTCCAGGGCTTCCGTAGAAATAGGTTAATTTTTACTTACGTTCTTAATAACGAAAATATGGGTGGGTAAAAACTCAATTAAGTCAATGGATAAATGTTTTAAAATTTTATTATAGTTGGCAGACTATCTAACACATAGCCCTTAAATCGATACTAGATTAATTAAGTTGATCAATATACGGCTGTTTTATCACGGAATACTTTTCCGTTTCTTGTGGATCTTTTTCTAAATGTGTTCTTGTTTCCTCAATAGAGATCTCAATTTCTCTAAGGAAGAATTATCGCTAGAGAAAATCTCAATAAGTCGTTTGGCTAGGATGTGTTATTTCATTATGAAATATTGGTCAGAAATTAATTATGGTCACCGAGGAAAGTTTTATGGAAAGTAAGAGGGAAGAAGTCCCCTTGAAATTTAAGATAATATTAATAGAATATTGAGTTTAATATTAAGTGAAATTTAATTGTTGTTATCTTACTTTCGACCTGTAATTTCCCGAGTCACAAAGGCTCGTCTAAATGTAAATTTCTATGTACAAAAAGAAAATTAACAATATCGTTAGATAAAAAGATATACCATATCTCTACTTGCTTGAACAAGTTTGAAATATCCTTCAATCCTAAATGTGCTCCTTACCTAGAAGAATAAAAAATACAGCCTTGAGTCGTTTCTGTAGCTTTTCGATAACCAGTAACATGGCCAACTGTGAGGTGCCATAACACATCATGAGGTACCCTATCATTCCCAAACCTAGTGTGTCTGTGCCATACATCTAAAATGCATAAAACATTCATTAGGAAATGCCATAAAAATGTTTTTTTTTTAAAAAAAAACACATTGTGTTTGACTAACTGATAAGACCCATCAAACCTGTTCCCGATTGAATTTATAATTATAATTTTTTCTTACATTTCCAGATTAATTTCTTTCGATGCAGGATTTAAAAAAAAAAATTCAATCTTTGTGCCTTGTTCGTCTTACGTCGAACAAATAAGTAAACGTTTTATAATTTTCAATATTTTTGTAGCGGATGAACCCTTTTAAACCAATTTTGGTATATGGCATACCTATCGATAGAAGAAAACAAACATTGTGAATTTCATAAGTTATGTATTACTTTGGCCTCAGAGTGTGAAAAAAACATTATAATTTACACAAGTTTAAAATATATCATTTAATTCTTGACATTTACTTTAAAAATTATTGGCACAGATATAATATGCAATAATATTTTGACAAAATTTTTGAAATTTAATGTCTTTAATTTTTCTCAAATTAAGTAAAGCAGGTTATCCTTAGTCCTTAGCTAGTGCAGATGGCTGCAATGGAGAGAGAGAGAGAGAGAGAGAGAGAGAGAGAGAGAGAGAGAGAGAGAGAGAGAGAGAGAGAGAGAGAGAGAGAATAACAATCCTTAGAAAGTAAAATAATATAATTAGCCCTTCTGTTTTGACTTTCATTTGATCAGTAGAGCAGACATTGTCACCAATTATTTTCTTCTATAGCAGTTGATATTTCCATGAAATATGAGTAGGTGATTTCCGCAATTTACCTTCATATAACACTTTTCATTTACTATAATTAAGCATGGAAGTCATTGAGATGATACCAGCCTTTTATGCTTTTGATAAATAATACATCCTTGATTAAACTTTTGATCTTCGCTTTAGTTGACATAAAAAAAAAATTAGGGATTTATTTGTAAAAATAATTTTTTGGATAGGAAATTTTTGTTTGTGGAACTTGAAAGCACAATTTACAGTTGTCAACTGCTTTATTCAATTTTTTTTCACAGAAAGAGTTTTATTTGATTTTACAGTCATGAAAAAAAAGAGAAATATAATATTTCTTACCTTTGTGACGTCACTGATAACGATTGCTTGTTGCATACCGGTGAATACCATCAACAATCCAAGCATAAGAAATGTCTTTGTTCTGAAGAAGCTTAGAACATCGCAGATTTTATCCCAGAATGGTGTTTTTCTCTTATTTATGATGATGTCTGGCTTTCTTAAACAACATCCTATAAGAATCACTGAACAACAAGCTAACCACAAGTACAAAAGCTTCAAAATTTGCAAGTAGTCCGGTTTGTTGAAATCTTCCACAAAATAACGTAGAATCTTTTCTCCAAATGTCTCATCGAATGTCTTATGGATATCCTCCCCACAAAGAGAAGAATTGCAAGTAGATATATCTGCTTCGTAAGCAGAGACTTTGGCATGGGTGTAATTTTCATCAAATCTCAACGTAACACTCTGTATTAAATTACCAAAAATCTGAGCAGAATGGCAAAATACGACAAAAACGCTCTGAAACTGATGAATGGAACGTTCTATTCTTATTCCAGTAATGGAAGAATAACTTGTTCCGTAGCTTCCAATTAAAAGTTCTTGTACAGACCATAAAGGAGCCTGAAGAAATCCAAAAATGACAGACATGGGAAGAAGTGTCCATACTGATGGAAACAAGTTTGATGTCACATAAAATACGTGAGAGATCAAGGAAAATAATATCAATCCTTTTGGGCGCGCATTTTGGACAAGCCAAGGGGAGATAACACAACCAATCACAAAACTACAATAAATCAGACCAAGTGATATTGTGCCTAAATAATAATCTGGAAATATACTTGTTTGAATATTTCGAAGTGGTAAGAAGGACATAAAAGCAAACATCAATCCAGTACATAAGGCGATAAAGTTTTTCCAAACCGAAAGTTTACTTTGTGTTTTGTGTTGCCCCATGTTTAAATTTTCTGATTGTCCATCTGCACTACGAAGTCGCTTTAATTCCTTCCATTCTTCACTGAGACTTGCAGCTCTCTCAGCTCGATGTGACGTCACCTGATCGTCTGATTTGGACGACACTGAATTATCACTAACACTCTTCTCTCGTTGCCGGCCCCATAGCATGGCTCTCATTTCGGCATGAGAAACTTCCAAGTCGGCAATTTGATCATCATCCTCGCTTTCCCTCGACATCATCTTTAACTATTGATATTTAATTCTACAATAGAAATTGAATTTTAAATAGCAATTCCTCCATCTTCATACTGGAAATCATATCAAGCACTGCAACAATAATTATAAATCAGAAGCATCGTAAGATTACATCTGACACGTCTGCTGGCATATTTTTGGTCTATCAATACAGGAAAATTTTCTGTGTCTGAAGTAGAAATCAATAACGCGCCGCAACTTTATGCTTTTGAAACTGATAGATGTATGGCAGCCATTTTTAACAATGAAAATCCTATCGACCGAGCATCGTTGCATGTATTGTAGCGTTTCGAACGACTTTTTAAAAATAGTTACCATTAAAAAAAATTGGAATGGGTTCTGTTGCAAGTCAGAATTTTTTGTTTTCTCTGTCCAGAGTAAAGTAAACTAAATTTATAATTTTGGTAAAGTTATTTCTTTCTTCTATCAATTTCATGTCAAATTAAAAAAATATCTATAGCATTTTGAAAACAAAAAGTTTCAATAAGAGAAAGATGCAGATACAAAACTGTGATAACAAGAATAAAAGGGAAATAAACCAAATTACGCAGTCATAAAAACCTACACACTTGAGGCCAAAACAGGCCTTAATCAAATTTTCATGATCTCAAAGTGTGCTTCATTTTTTCCTGTAGGCTATCTACAATGATAATATCCCAAAGTGTGGATTCATCATTTTGGGTATTGGATTGAAAAAGGAATGAGTACAGCAAGAAAGAATGATTTATTGATTCAATGTAAAACGTTAATGAATCGGATTCCTTTGGGAGAATATGCGCTGTCATTGTTGATTGGTACAACTTGAACTTAGTTTTGGTAAGGCTCTCTAGCAGGATAATGGACTCTGACACAGATTCTGAAGGAAGCAGATGAAATCTGCCAATCCTAAGATCTAGGCTTTTGAGTTCATGTTTTTCTGACATAAAAACGATAATCAAATGCTTTTAAATATGAATATTCATAAATAAATGTTTAATCAGCATTTGACGGGGGGTAGTGATTGCCTGTGGGGAATTTTTAAAACATGCAATATAACCCAATGATTGATATTGACACAATATAGGTATCCAAATATATATGCAAATTGAAAACTGTAATTAAACAAAAATTGCTTTAATTAAAAAATAAATATGATGTAAAAGGTAATTTAAGGCGCATACTTTTTTTGAATATTAACTACAAGAATTAAAAAAAGATGCCAGCTATTTTTATCTTGCACCAAAACAGCCTGAAGTTTGTTACAATATAACCTTATCACCTGCCGTATGGGGCATATGTCTCGCAGTTGCAGTTGAAAGGCAAGAACATGCTCTATAGTCTATACGTAAAACAATTTCAATACGAGGCAGCTATTATCAAACTAGTTGATGAATCAGGAATATCAATATTCTCGTAATCATTTCTACCCCCATTGCAGTTCAATAACTTAAACCTCTATATTGACAAAAATATTTATAAAACAGCACAAACAAATTGAAATATTCTTCTTAAGAACAATTTTACCAACAATTACACAACCTTTCATCAACATAAACATGAAATTTTATTCATAATGAAATCATTAGAAGCTTGTGTTGCCTTTTTTTGCATAACTTACTTACATGTACCATCGTTCGTATATAGAAAATTTACCGTCAAAAACGAAAGTAGGAAAATGGCATTGTACTCAAATGAGAGCAATTAACGAAAAGTAGTATATAATGACATTAGGGCAAACTATTTTCCACGTTGTCTGTAAACAGGTATAAAAAATATTCCAGTTGTACCAATGCAATCATAAACGTATGGTATAAATAGTTGTCAAATAACTTCTGTCAAATAAGCAAATACTTTGCAAACAATACACATAGTAAGGGGGTCAGAAGAGACTAGAAAAAACTTGTAAAGACACGAAATGCATCTCAAAAGTCCGGCATTTGACATCTCTCATCTGTTTTAAATCGATTCAATTTTTTTGGTACATACTGTATGGTTTTCAATTCTTGCACACAAAAATCCCTCATTCACCTTTATACTCCCCTCCAACATGTCTACACACGTTGTTTAAATTCTTGTAAAAAAGTCCTAATACGGTATAATTTCGTTAATGGTAGAGTTAACCTGTGATAAAAAGAAATTAATTATGGTCTCTAGGAGACACGGTGTATTTAACATTGAGGTGCTTTTACTATTCATAGAATATTTTATCAGAAAACCCTTTATATGTACATTATGGCGGTATCTTTAAACTTCCTCAAGTTCATATACAAAATGAACGATGGTCTTAATGAACACAATCGATACTAAATGCTTACCATTTTAAGCACACTTCAAGTACGTATGGTTTTTATTTTCTTATTATTTTTTACAGGTACCAAATGTTCACTCTCCCATCCTTTAGATTTACCTGAGAGATTCAATCAATATCCTATAAATTGGCAACATTACTAAATACCTTGTATACAGCCTGAAGTTTTTATCCATTTAAAAATGCCTGGGCCACCCTTGGGAGGGAGGGAGGAAGGAAAATTATTTTTTAAATATTAATATATATATTAAAAAATGTTTCTGGAATTGCGCAGCCGAGGTTGACAATGGTTTTCGAGGGGTGAAAATTTTCAATGAAGGGTTTTAGACCGTGCGCGCATGAGAGGGAGCAATGTTGACTGTTGGGAGGAAAAGCGTGTTAGTGTTTTTTTTTTTTCCTCAAAATTGAAGATAAATATTAAATTTTTGGTAAAAAGCTCAGTAAACAGTAAATACATATTCTGACTTTTAAAAAAAGTATCTACCATCAACAAAGAAACCTAATTTTGCATAGATCTGGTACTGCATTTCAGTGTTTTGTTTTGTGTATGTGATAACGGGCAAAAAAATTAAATAAAAAAAATCTTCCTACTTTTGGTCAATAAATTTTTTCAGGAGGGGGCATTTCAATGAGGTGGGAGGCAATTCCAAACAAACAATAATTTTATTTTGGTCCTGCTAATTTAGACGCCATTATTGTACAACACTGGATATTCATAAATACCGCTGCATATTAACTGCACATTATGTATTCATATCTATAAATAATATATATCTATGCGTTGCCAACATAATGTGACTAACACAGCGTCCCTCTAGATCACCTCATGATTACAATACACTTTCTCCATGAAACTTTTACAAAAATGAAGATTAATGAACTTACCTCCACAGAAATTCTAGGGCCAGGAGAGGTCAGTTGTTAACAGTTCATTGAGTCTTCCCATTGTGAAGTTTTGAATAAAATGCTGCTATTTCAAGATGCATAACTTCCGCATGCAAATATGTGATTCATTGACTTATAATGCTCAGTCACACGTTAGCTCGTACGGTGGATGTGTTAGTTATGCTTCTATTGTGATCTTGCAAACAAAAATTAATAAACCTGGGAGTATAATCAGGAATGCTAGGAAAATCTATGTATCGATCCATTTCGGGTGGCTAGATGCATTCAGCTTCAAATTCAAGCAGCATTGAGAGAACCAGTGAACTCTCTGTGGATGGGTTCCTATGTTAACAAAGGTGTCCAGTGGAACATAATGGATTAAAGAATCTGATAAGTCTGTGATAATGATTGAACAAATAAAACTCAATACAAGCTATGGTATTTAAGCGTTTCTGAGAGAGACATTAATGACGATATTTTCTCCCATTAACATTTTTCACCAACCAGTACAGTGTTTTAATTATCACTACATACTCCCACAAGAAATTAATTTATATCTTTCTTCAGTATCACTGTGTGAATGATAAATACTTTTGATTTAATGAATAAAACTAAGACCGAAAAGACAAGCATGCATGAATATGTGAAAAAAATAACCTCCAATCAAGACAACGTCGTTAATAATTAAATAAGTACCTCTTAATTGATAAATTGCATCAGAACTTAAAAGATGAACATGCGTTTAGATGTGAGGGAATGCAGACTTCGACCTTATAAGTAGACTAATTACCCTAAGGACTATCCCGATCGATGCCTCTGTCTATTCAGAGAAAGTGATTACAGACGCCTGAAATGCACTGCATTGCATTAAGACCTTCAAAGCGGCATGCCAGAATTCATTATCAAACACTCCCGATCGAAAACTACGGTTCCACATTGTTATAGTTTTATAACACGAAAAAAAAATGAAGCTGTCTCAGAATTTCAGTTAAAATAGAAAACAAACATTTTTGTTTCACAGAATCAAATGATGTCTATTATATATTGAAGACTGCAATTGTTTCTGTTAGTATGTTTAAAATTATTTGATTAGTTAAGGTTCAGTTAAGATAGATGAGATTGGCCACCGTCTTTTACCTTCATCAAAAGTCACAATCATGAAAAAATTATAGACCCTTTTGTTAATTGTGCGTCAGAGTGATAAAAAATAAAAATGATTTTTTTGTTGAAGAGTTCCTTACCTGATAATTCATCGCGCAATATATAATCATTGTTTGATAATCTAATCAAATTTATTTGGTTAAAGACATTTCTACATTAAGTTTACGGCAAAAATATCAGAAAAATCTACACAAACTTTGAGTTATCCCACTTTGTACGACACAACTCGTTAGAGAGAAAAAAAATTCTACTCGCTAACTCTCTGACAAATGTTGATATTGTTTGTTACTTTCCTATATGCCGAATAAATCTAACATTTTCAATATTTTTCTACGAAATATATAATTCATGATTTTCCAAAATAAAAACTAGAGGTACTGTAAGCAATGAGCTCACTAAATGATACCACCGCCTACCATATAATTATAATGGCAAAGTTCATGTTTTGCTCTATGAGACCGGAAATAAGTAAGAAATCAAAACGTAAAATAGGAGGTATGTAAAAAGTCCTTAGATTTATTTCAGTGGTAAAGGAGGAGTTGCAGGTAAGAGATGGATACCCTTCATATAGCAAGAATTGCAGTGTCCATGTTTTGCTACGGAAAACCCAAAATAAGTATTGGATCAAAAAGTATAATAGAAGTTGCACACTGGCACTATGTAGCAAAGATTGTGTGAAAGTCTCATAAAATTTTGCTCAGTGGTATAAGAGGAGTTGTGGATAAGAGATGAGTATCCAAAAGCGTAACAAACGGACGGACGTAAAGCTACATGTAGTAGGGCGGACGGACATACAGACGGACAAACATCCATCCAATTTGTAAAGTGGTGGAATAAAAAGAAGCATAATTTTTTTTTCAAATTCTACTGACGATGAAAACTTTTACAAATCGAAATTATATTCTTTGCTAGGCGTTTGGAAGATTTTAATGTAAAAGACTCAACTTTATAAAAAGTATCATTATATACACTGTATGCGACAAAAAGAGGAATGTGTATCGTTTATAAAAACAATGTTATCGAACTCCCCCGCCCTTGAAAAATTATTTTTAAAAAAATGTTTTAAATAATGCAATTATGTACCTCCTAATTTACATTGCGATGGTATATATATCTTTGTTTCTCAAATCAAAGCATCACCTTGGCACTATAATGCACTGTAGTATCCATCTTTTTACTGCAACTCCTCCACTACTACTGAAAAATAAAATAATGACACCTTCATAGAAATTTTTCGCATAGGACCATTGTGGACCTCCTGCTTTTCCTTCCATCGAACGAGTATTGAACGCATCCAAGCAAAACCATTTGTGAGGACGGAGGCGGCACTCAACTCTTATTCACAACTGCTCCTATGCTAATGAATGAAATTAAGTGATACTTTTACAGAATTAATCAAACTTAGTTCCATTGCTTTGTCCTATTTGACATTTTGATATATATATTTGTATTTTCCAATGGCAAAAATTGATTCTGCCATTTTATTTATATGGAAGCGGTGATATCCTTTTACGAGGTATATGCTCACTAGTTATACACCCGCGTGAAAAGCAAGGGAGTATATTTGAATTAATTGTGTACTCCATCCCTCAGTCCGTCTGTTACTCGTTGGGGTACCCATCTCTTATCCGCAACTCCTCTTATAAAATGGAATGAAATTTAACTAGAGGTACTGTGAGCAATGAGCTCACTAAATATAATACCCCCCGCCTCCCATATGAATATGATGGCATTATCCATGATTTGCTCTGGAAAATCCAAAATATATGTCAGATCAAAAAGTAAAATAAGAGGTGCACAATGGCAATATGTAATAAAGATTTTGTGAAATTTTCATTAAATTTCCTTCAGTGGTATGAGAGGAGTTGCGGATAAGAGATGGATACCCCAAAGCGTAACAGACCTGACGACGGACATACCGATTACTATATACCCTCCCACTTTTCAAGCGGGGGGTATAATGAGATTTTCACACAATCTCTATAGTGTAGTGCCATTGTGCACTTCTTATTTTACTTGTTGATCAGACACATATTTTGGGTTTTCCATAGGAAAGCATAAAAAATGCTATTCTTTCTAAAATGTTTAAGGGTGCCCATCTTCTATCCGCAATTCCTCATATAACACTGACAAAATTTAATGATTCTTTTGCACCTTCTATTTTACTTTTTAAATTGACTCTTACTTCGGGTCGCCCAGAGCAAAACATTGACTTTGTCATTATTATCATATTAGTTGCGGGGTATCATTTTGTGAGCTCGGTGCTCACAGTATCTCTAATTTAAAATAATATTAGGAAAATGAAACTGTTCATTGTTCATTCACTTGTGTAAAAAAGGTATGAAATTCGAAAAAAGATCGATGACATTAAAAGAAAGAAAGAAAAAGTATAAAATGATATAAAATGATATTTAAGTATATATTTAAGTTTAAAATGATACAGTTTAAAATAATCAATATATTTTAGAGAATTTATGTTTTCTTTAAAGCTGCATTTCGAACAGTTATAGCATCGTGTAAGCAAATATTTTTAGAAGATGAGTTCACTTTTTCACAAGGCCACTGCCATTCCATATATACAGCATTGGTGGTATCCATCTCTTATTCTCAACTACTCCACTACTAATGAAAGATATTAATGAGGCTCTTACAGATTTTTTTTTTTACATTCTGCAGCTCCTGTGTTAACTTTTCCATCGAACGAGTATTTGGGGTCTCCGATAGCAAATCCATTAATTATTCTGTAATAATAATATGGGTACTCAACTCTTATCTACAAGTTCTGATGAACAATTTAAAAAAATTTAGTGATATTTTACAGAATCAATTTTACAAATCCATTGTTACCTTCTATTTTACATTTCGATTGACATGTGTGGTTTCCTCTTACAGAAAATTTGCCTTACCACTATAAATTCGTATCAAAGCGTGGGTATCATTTTGTGAACTTAATGCTGAGCAGTTTTTTTGACTTTGTAAAAATATTTAAAAAAAATGCAAAATAATACAGTGTATGCAAAAAATACACGATAACATTAAAAGAAAGAAAAAAGAATTACAAAACATTGAAAAGTGCACTTTTAGATTAGGATTTAAAATAAAAATTCATTATAAATATATAAGTATCAAATTATTTGCTTTTCTGTTTTAGGTAACAGCTCAGTGTTTCATCTGTTTAAATATTTTCTTTAAAGCTTGACTGAACAACAGCATCGTGTCAGCAAATATTTTTAGAAGATGAGTTCACTTTTATCAGGAGAAAAACGTGCTTTGTCTACTTCTAAAGCTAAAGCGCTTTAAACATTTATATTTTAAGAAACCCTGATTTTCCATGTTAAAAATTATTTACGAAATTGTTGATGCTGGTTTATATTACAAAATGAATTAAAAATCAAACGCGAGTTGTTATATGATATTGTTAATTTGATTATGGGATTTTCAAAAAATAGACCAAATTATTGGCTATTCAAAGCCCATTCAAGGCTCGTGGGGACTTGACGCTTTCATTTTCAATCATTAAAAATGGGAATATTGATGGAATGTGAGTTGATATTGAGATTTTCAAAAGCGTAATGCATAATGAAGTAAGAGCAACATAACTTCACACTTGAGAGTAAAAGCTAGGAAAAAGGACAAAAATTTTCAATTTTGGTAAAAGATTAAGCATTTATTGTTCTCTTTTAAATAACTGGCCAACAAAATAAAATAAAATATGATATAATTTCTCAGTATTATTTAGAACTTTTTGTGAACAAAGAGAAGAAAAAGATTGTATGATTGATTGATTGTATATTGTTTAACGTCCCATTCAAGAATTTTTCACTTATATAGAGACGTCTAGAGAGAGAAGAAAAAGAAAGACCGATTGAAAGGAATATAAAAGTTTATTAAAAAATCTGACCCATATCTCATTCAATTACATTTTTCATATTGCAGTTTTTCTCTCCATGATATGTGTTATCAACTACCAAAATCTCAATTCCACATTTACAAGCTTCCTTTTGTTTTAGAAGTTAGAGCTTCTATATTTACTTCTTCAGTTGAGCGATGATAGCTTTGCAGAAATCTGGTAAATCTTTTGGTAGGCGTGACGTTATCATATTGCCATCAACAACCACCGGTGCATCCTCGTATAATCCCCTGCAATGCATATATTGTAATTCAAAAATATTACAAAGAAGTATAAAAAAAGACGTTTGCACTACTGCACTTCTTTCAAAAGCAATTGATCGATGAAATCAGATACTTGAAATAGTAACAATGAATTTCTTAAATCAACACAAAAATAAACTAAACAGTGCATTTCAAACTGTGATTTTCGTTTTTCCAACATGTCTAATATTTTCTCTTTTATTACCGTTTCGACACCTCTGTCAACGCTCATTAAACAAGATTCTTGATCATTTCAATTTTGAATAAAAATAATTATAATATAATATTTATGGATAATAATAATTTATCACTTACTTTAAATCTACAATTTGTACTCTCTTCGAGCAAAAAAGAAAAGTTGGAAAGATATCCTTAAAGGGATCGGTAATTTGAAAATATATCACTTTAACTGATAAGATAATTCATTAAAAAAACTTTTAATATATTTTTACATTATAAATTTGCTACAATATCCGTATAATAAGCGTTGATAGTATTTCATTAGAACTTGGAAGCATTGGCAGAAAAGACAATCCCGTAAAGGCGGTGTTGCTCACCCAGCATTTTCAACGTCGTCTTTGATGGCGACGAAACAAGTCAGCTTCCTCCCTTTTAGAATCTTTGCCGAACAGAACATCCAAGCACCATGACATATCGCAGCTGTGGGCTTGCCTGTAATATACAAAACATCATCATCATTCTCCTAATTATCATTATATGTATGGGAATTTATCAAGTGTGAAACAAATATCATCAAAAACGTTTTCTTGATAAAATCGATTCCTTTGAATCAAACTAGTTGTATAAAAACAAGAGAAAAAAAATTTAAACATGCAGATGAAAGAGAAACGAAGACAATGTTTATATTTTAAATATTATTTTAAATCTACATACTAAAACAAAAATCTTACGTTACAAAGAATTAACGTATTTATTTGTAAATTTTAAGCTTCGATTACAAAGTTCCTCATTGAAAAAATACAAAGACAATCCAAATAATCATAAAACTGTATTTTATTGGGACGAAATAAGTCGTGACCCTGGAGATATATTTAACACTGAAACAGACATGTCTCTAATACTATCCAGAGGATATTTGTCCTAAAATGCGCAAAAGCTTGGTCATTCAGAGTTTAATTTAAACCTACAGATAATGCAATTCTGACTTGGATTTTTTTTGCACTTAGGCATATTTTCATATGTATTCGACCAATTTAAATGGTTCCTTCTTTCCAGGCTTCACACAATAATAATAATAAAAAATTCCCAACGTCTCAAAAATTAAATTTTTTTATATTATTTCTTCCTTTTTAATTTCCCTGAAATAATAATATGGGAATAGATAATGTAATAAAAAAAACAAATACAGAAATAAAAATGTATGACAATGAGGTTAGTATTTGCCTTGTTTTTAGCGGATAGCATTCATACGACTCTCCAGAGAAAATAAGAACGCAGCATCAATTTCGTAAAAAAACTCATTTTATTTCCATATACTATGTAAAACGTTAAGACTCCACATTAAAAAAGACAATAAATAAGACTAGTATTATAGTCATTACCGTTTTGATAGCTAAAACTCATTATTTTGCCCCCACCCCACCCCACCCCAAAAATGGCAAAGAATAACGAAAATTACAAATAGCTACAATGGTCCAGTGTAGTCCACTGGAACACTACACATTTGGGGCATAGCATGGAAGGACCCCTCAAAACATTGAATGTGGGATCAAGTGCCATATAAAGAGTAAGCATCCCAACTAATGTCCGGTCACTTACACCCATCGCTTGCTCCTTGTCTTGTTCAGACAAAGAGAAAAAAAATCCCTAGACTGTTCATGGTGATAAATTATGGCCTAACAGCTTAAATGGAAAGCATTTAGTTCGCAAAAGTGTCCCATCATCAATTTTAAACAAACAAATAACGTTGTTTGCTTGATGATATACAAATAACATCGTCCTCTGTGTTTTGCTAAATAGTGAAAAATAGTACTGGTTTTTACTCTGTGGGCTTCGAAGAGTACTTTGTCCCGCCATAAAACGCTTACAGTCCTGTATGTAGGTAACTTCGCATTTACCTACAATATCTAGCTTCACTTGTGTTATAGTACTGATAACATATCGATTGTGTGATGCGATAAGAAGATCATCCTGACCATATTGTATGCCCTATGACACACCACTACTTTAACAACTTGCCACTCAAAACAACTATACCATGTACTGTTAGTGATTCCAAATAATCATTTCTCGAAGAATGAATGAAATCAACGATGGCTGGTATTCAGCGAAAAAGCAAAGTGAAGCCCATGTACAAACTGAAATGTGTCGTTGTTGGAGATTTAGGAGTAGGGAAAACTACCCTAGTTAGATCTTTTGCAGAAGAAGGTCAGATCAAAGGAGAGAAAATTCATCATAGAGGCATGTGGAAAAAGGAAATAATCATGGACTCGTGTGCCGTCTATCTCTCTATTTGGGACACTGCAGGTACTGAGGTATTTCTCAAATCATTTATAAAAAAAATGTTGAAGTTGACTGCTGATGAACTACATCTAAAGTGTCTTTCACAGGTGTTTCTAAGATATCAAATGCTAATAGATAGACATTTGCCTCTTTGCTAGTCACTGTAAGATAATTTAAATTCTAGCAAGAATTCAAAAAAAGTACAAAAAAACCCAACAGATTTTATGAAATCCGTTTTATAAAAAGAAAAAAAAATTGCTGGTTTCTAGTTATTATTCCTAAATAGCGATTTATGTGATACACTATCTATTTATTACATAACAAGATGCTGGCATAAGACACCGCTTAATTCAACTCAGATGGAACAGACTGTACAAAAAAGTATACTCTTGTCTGTACCTTCAAAACTAGCAAAGAAACCATATATGGGTCTCAAGTTAGTTTTCATGTATTAAATTTTATAACAACAGTGTATCCGATATTTAAAGAACTAATGAAGCAAAATTAGGTTTTATTAAAATAAAATGTTTTTTTTAATTAAAACAGCCATTTTAGACTTTTTGTCTATTATTTGCCAACTAAGTGAAAAAATTGTTTGAATACGGCCAATCATATCCCTAATGATGAAGGACGAGTATTCTAAATCACTTTTTGTAGGATATCGTTGTGAATCAATCCCTTCCTAGAATCTCAGATAAAATTTAAATTTAAACAATTATTGCACAGCTCAAGAATGGATAGGTTTCTGTTAAAATCTTAGTTAGAAAGGAGAAACTAACTAATAATGATCGATCATCCCAAAAACCAAAACAATAAACATGTACAAATCTGTGAGTAGTCTAGTCTATAAACCTCGGACTCCTTGAAATTCCAGAAGTAAGATCAGGTGCCCAAGAGGAGTAAGCATTCCTTGAAGACCAGTCAAATCCGTCGCGAGTCCCAAGAAGTAATCAGATAGATATAGAATAAGATAAGCTCGGGGAAGAAGCAAAATTTTCTGACACTGTATCTATTTATTGTATCCAATCATAACATTTCATCATTTTTTGTATATAAAGTATGCACTGTGTCAATATGACCCATACTGATAAAGTATCAACAATCTCAAGGCTGTCTGATTTGTATTTTAAATTTAATCTTTGATTCAAACTTCCTTTGCAAATACGTACTTCTCATCATTGCAAATAATATATCAAAAAAGAATATACGCAAAAAGTATTGGGTTTTATTTTCTAAATATATATATATCAAGCAGTACATGTAACAATCTTAAACATGGTAACTCTTCTTTAGAGGTATTCTCTTTTTTTAAAGTCACATTCGGCATAATTTAAACATGAACTGTTCATAACTTTATTTACAATAATTATATTTTTAGAAGATATGTCACAATTCAAAAACTTTCAAATGAAATACTGTTTGTTATCTGCATATTCTATGTATAAAATAGTTAATTTTCAAACAAATTTTAGATATTTTTTTAAAATTCTTATACACAAAACGCTTAATTTTATTTTTTTAATTTCTGAAATTTTAGAGCACATCGTATGATTTTTATTACTTGCTTCTTATACAAAAGTTAGATTTTAAATATGGCGAGATTAAAACATGAACATCAAAGAGAATTTCTCTTTTAAAGACATGTTTTCATGTCTCAATATCTCTTTTTCAATTCACAACAATGCACATTATTCAGATTATTCATTTAAATTTCTGCAATAAAAATAAATTCATGTACGTTTGATGTCTCAACAGTTCAAAGTTTGAATTCTCCATATCCATTTATTATTTCTTTCATCAGCTAATTAAAGGCCGTCCCTCTGGCGTCATACTACTCATTGCTGGTCGGACAAAGCTGCACTTATTGTATTTATAAAAGAAGTCTATGAATTATGATGTCACAAACTTATTAGGCATAAAAAAAACATAATTGACATTATGATAAAATCTGCTGCATTTAGATGCTCAAACATCAGCAAAAAATTATCGTTAACTTCATTGTTAGCTCTTCTCTGAATTAGGTCAAGAAAGGTATCGAAGTCTGACAGGATCATACTATAGGGGAGCCCACTGCTGTATGATTGTGTTTGACGTGAACTCTTTAACTTCGTTCCAGAATGTACGAGAATGGTACGTCAACTTCCAGTAAAACAAAGGCCATTCCCAATGAAAATGAATGTTTTTACAATATGGTTAATTTTAAATCTTACACTTTATACTATATAAAGTTTTTGAATCTTTTGAATCTCCGTTTTTGCACATTTCAGTGAAATTTGAATTTTGCTGCTATAAGATTTGCATGATCAACAGCCTTATAGTTGATGTGTATGCTAATATATTACTTACTGCAGATACTGCATTAGTTGAAAACCTTATTATTATTTTATATCTACAAAAATGTATTAAAGTTTATAGTTGTACAGACAAAAATATTACTGTGAATTTTAATTCATTTTACCGTTTTGTGAAGGTATGACAACATCGAAGAGTATGCAGAGCACCCTAACGAGATAATTAAAATGCTTGTCGGGACTATTCGAAAGCAGAATCACAGGGCGGTAAGCCCAGAAAAGGCTGAGAGGCTTGCTGAACACTTAGGTCTATCATACCAGGAAATCGACTTTGAGAGTCAAAACAACGTCAAGGACTTGTTTGAAACGCTAGCGGATTTAACATTGGTAGTGTATAGAGAAAATAAGTTCCAGTCGAACGTTCCAGTGATATTGCTCCCGAAAAAACGCCAAAAGACCTCTTTATGCTCATGTTGATAATGTCGAATTGCGCATGACATGAAAAAGAGTTTTCATCTCCGGTATTTTGATCTCCTTAAAGCAATATGAGCTGCATTTTTGAAAATTTTATTTTGCTGTTAAAATGTGTTATTATGATAAATTTGTATGTAACCTAAACCTTTATGATCAATAAGACTAAAATAAAGCAGAAAAAACTTCTATATACAATCCAATATACAGTTTTATATAAGAAATCATTATTATACAGGAAGATGTAATTTTGATTCAATCTAAGATTATAAATAGTTCTTCCATTACAAATATGAACATCAGAAGTTACTTAACACAATTTTTTTGTCTTTGAAATAGTTAATTTATAATTTTGCAATAAAAAAATCATACATTAAAGTTGCAGCTCATATTGCGTTAAATATTACCGTCCATATATTCGCTTTTAGTATAAAACCCTTATATTTTACATCATTTTAGAAAATGTTAATGTCTGAAGTCTTAATTTATATTGTGACTTGTCGAATAAACACTGTTCTATAAACAAAGTAAAATTATCTATCATAAATATAGCAATAATAATTACTTTGTAAATTTGTCATATCTTTTGTTCCTGGGGGTATTTTTGTTAAGCAGAATTTTTTTTTAAAGGCATGTTAGGTTTAAAACATGAGCTGGTTTTATGACATGTTCAATTCATTTTTGAGAAAAAAAAACCCCTGTAATATTATGGTAAGACTAGAAATATTGCCATGTCATTTTAACTGCAATTGATATTATTACATTTTTTATTATTATCATTTTATTATTACTATTATTTCACAAATACATGTACAATAAAGTGCAATAACAAATCAGCAATTCCTCAGTACTTCATAAAACCATATACAGTGTAAGTAAACAAAAATCTTATGATTGCTGATTGAGTGGATAGATGGGAAAGAGAGAGAAACATAGGTAATCAGAGATTACAGAGCTCACCTCAACGAATGTTGTCTTTAAGTAAGGCAAAGTCACACAATTAACCAACAAGAAGTATACATTCCAAAAATGAAAATATTTTTAAAAGCAATTTTGATCTGATACTTTGAAATAGACCTACATAAAAAATTTAAACTACTTCTTCTTCATGAAAATGTAATGAAAATCCAGCATCTGAAGCAAATTTGAGAGTTTTCATCTCTTGATGCAGCATTTATGCAAGTTTGGTTTATACAATGTTATATAAGCCTTATAGTTTTTGGTAATAGACCTGCAACCATAACTTTTACCTTGTCTATTATCTGAAAAATGTATGTCCAATTCAGCATCCGAAGCAAGTCCATTAGTGTGCATCCTTAGATGTATCATCCATGCAAGTTTGCTCATTATAGGGCTCATAGTTTATTGGAAATGAAACATGCATCAAAACTAACATTTTCACTCATCCACAAAAAGTAGGTCAGATTCAGCATCAGAAGCAAGCCTGGAAGTATGCATCCTTAGATGTATCATCTATGCAAGATTGGTCATTAAAGAACACATAGTTCCTTGGAAATGAAACCTGCACCAAAAACTTTTAACTATTCACTCAACCGGAAAATGTAGGTAAGATTCAGCATCCGAAGCAAGCCTGGTAGTGTGCATCCTTAGATGTATCATCCATGCAAGTTTGGTCAACATAGGGCTTAAAGTTACTTGCAAATGAAACCTGCACCAAAAACATTATCCTGTTCGCTCAACTGGATAATGTAGGTCAGATTCAGCATCCGAAGCAAGCCCGGTAGTATGCATCCTTAGATGTATCATCCATGCAAGTTTGGTCAACATAGGGCTTATAGTTACTTGGAAATGAAACCTGCACCAAAAACATTAACCTGTTCACTCAACTGGAAAATGTAGGTCAGATTCAGCATCCGAAGCAAGCCCGGTAGTATGCATCCTTAGATGTATCATCCATGCAAGTTTGGTCAACATAGGGCTTATAGTTACTTGGAAACGAAACCTGCACCAAAAACTTTAACCTGTTCACTCAACCGGAAAATGTAGGTAAGATTCAGCATCCGAAGCAAGCCCGGTAGTATGCATCCTTAGATGTATCATCCATGCAAGTTTGGTCAACATAGGGCTTATATTTACTTGGAAATGAAACCTACACCAAAAACTTTAACCTGTTCACTCAAGCGGAAAATGTAGGTCAGATTCAGCATCCGAAGCAAGCCGGTAGTATGCATCCTTAGATGTATCATCTATGCAAGTTTGGTCAACATAGGGCTTATAGTTACTTGGAAATGAAACCTGCACCAAAAACTTTAACCTGTTCACTCAACCGGAAAATGTAGGTCAGATTCAGCATCCGAAGCAAGCCCGGTAGTATGCATCCTTAGATGTATCATCCATGCAAGTTTGGTCAACATAGGGCTTATAGTTACTTGGAAATGAAACCCACACCAAAAACTTTAACCTGTTCACTCAACCGGAAAATGTAGGTCAGATTCAGCATCCGAAGCAAGCCCGGTAGTATGCATCCTTAGATGTATCATCTATGCAAGTTTGGTCAACATAGGGCTTATAGTTACTTGGAAATGAAACCTGCACCAAAAACTTTAACCTGTTCACTCAACTGGAAAATGTAGGTCAGATTCAGCATCCGAAGCAAGCCCGGTAGTATGCATCCTTAGATGTATCATCCATGCAAGTTTGGTCAACATAGGGCTTATAGTTACTTGGAAATGAAACCCACACCAAAAACTTTAACCTGTTCACTCAACCGGAAAATGTAGGTCAGATTCAGCATCCGAAGCAAGCCCGGTAGTATGCATCCTTAGATGTATCATCCATGCAAGTTTGGTCAACATAGGGCTTATAGTTACTTGGAAATGAAACCCACACCAAAAACTTTAACCTGTTCACTCAACTGGAAAATGTAGGTCAGATTCAGTATCCGAAGCAAGCCCGGTAGTATGCATCCTTAGATGTATCATCCATGCAAGTTTGGTCAACATAGGGCTTATAGTTACTTGGAAATGAAACCCACACCAAAAACTTTAACCTGTTCACTCAACTGGAAAATGTAGGTCAGATTCAGTATCCGAAGCAAGCCCGGTAGTATGCATCCTTAGATGTATCATCCATGCAAGTTTGGTCAACATAGGGCTTATAGTTACTTGGAAATGAAACCCACACCAAAAACTGCACCAAAAATGTTAACCTGCTCCAAAAACATTAACCTGGTAATTCCTTTGCTGAAATTGCAGCATCTGAAACTTTGACTGGTACAATAAAACACATTTGAAGCATCTTCCATGCATGTCTCATCAGTATAGGACACAGAAGTAATTAAAAAGAAAACTGCTCCAAAAAACTTAACCTTAACCTGGGACGCCGACGCCGACACCGACGCCGACGCCGACACCGACGCCGACGCCGAGGGTATCACATAAGCTCCCCCCAACTTCGTTGAGGTGAGCTAAAAAGGGGAGGGAGAAACTGCTTATTAAAAATTAAGGGAAAAAACCTTGTCTTTAAGAGGCTTTATTTGATCACAATTGGTGAATCTAAATCATGCAAATCAGCCAGAGCCTTCTCAGTATAAAATACGTTAAAACTTTTTTGGGTGCATTCCTTTTCTTAAAAAGCATACATCTTTAACGAAATTTTTCTGAACTGTTCATGCCACGTTTATCTAGTTAAGGCACTGTTAAATTTTCTATTGGTATAGGAGAAACTTTTTTGATTGATACAGAATGACCATTATAACCTCTTTAATTACAACTTGATATTGATGTTTGTTTCAATTGATCATAATATTCAAGTCCAATGGATACTACTGTGAGAACTTTGATGAGAGCTGTTACATTTGTTAAAACTAGATCTTCGACCACCAACCCCCTCCTTTATTATTATCACAATTGTTTTCACTAAATGAGAATAAAAAAAAATAGATGTACGGATCAAGAATACCATCAGATTGAAAAGTGGCGTGAATTTGAGTGTGATTAATTAACAAAGTCTTCCTAATGATTATAGATGACATGCATTTATATACACAATATATATAAATGATAATACATGACAGTTTTAATGATGAATTGATTATATATCTTTTATACATGTATATATCTCAGAGAGAGAGAGAGAGAGAGAGAGAGAGAGAGAGAGAGAGAGAGAGAGAGAGCTTGTTAATAAAGACAGTACGTGTGAAATATTGCAAAGCTTAAATACTGAGTATATCATGCAAATCTTCAGAGATGCATGAATATTTACATTTCCAATGTCTTTGTCCGAAATAAAATTACAAATTGTAAATGTACTTTATTTTCCCATCAATGTATTGGCGCGGCTCCAAAAAAAACCACGTGCAGGGCGGAACAAACAGGTAGACAGAAGCAGGGTTTGGAGCACGTGGATTGGCGGAATCAAAGCATGTAGATATAAGGAATAATTGTCAGATTTTTCAATTTCATGAAGATGATCAATCAATTGCCTTACGTGATAATTTTATGCATAAACGCCGATGGCGTTTACGCAAATTATCACGCAACCCAATCGATTGATCACATCATGAAATCGAAAAATAAGACAGTTATTCCTTAATTCAATTATTTTCCTACAACATTAATATTATATTCATCAAAGTGTATCATCTATTGTGAATATATATAATTGAATAAAAAATGACTATGGATTATAATAATTATTATCTAAATGTGAATAAATCCTCAAAAATATAGAATTAAACGCTTTGTTATCAATTATTTTAAAAATAAGTATCCATATATTGATTATTCAGTCTCTGGACAGCAAAACAGTGGGCATTTAATATCAGTCTGACAAGTGACCAACACGTTACCTGTATATTTACTTTATACACAGCAATAGAGACCTTGGTACGCTTTTATATTTACAGATTACCGGTACAACAGCTTAAACTTTTTGTACTGAGGTTTCGTCGCAAACAAAGGCATTTCTTCTTTGCCCCGAGCTGCATCGCTTCACATTTTTGAAGGCCAAAAGGTTAATATGAGTTCAGCACTATTTTAAAGTGGTGTAAAAATGTGAAA